AAAATGATCCGAAATCAATATTTGAGCAAGTACATAACCAGCCAGTGTTCAAAACTCTCGCCTTACTTTAGCCCAATTCACAACGGTTAGCTTATAATAATGTTTTCTAGAACAGGTGGAACAGGTGGTTTTCGCGGGAAATTCGAGCATGCTGCCGCATCATTACGTCACGTCTGTAAATTTCTCTCGGTTGTCCCGGCTACTAGGCTATCGCATGTGAGGATCCTGCAGGTGGCGGATCGTTTATAGCCTTTTCTCACAGCAGCCAGAATAATTAAAATTGGGCCTCATTTATCAATCTAACGTAGAAACGAGCGCAGATCTGTGCGCACAAATCAACTTACGACAGAGTTCACGTGTGATTCATGAAACATTCGTATGCCGCCAATCTCATCGTACGAATTATCGCACGTTGATAAATGTGGCGGCATGAAAACAATCGTCATTTGAATATCACGCCCCTAAAAGCACCCTGGTTTAGAAGCCTGGCCCCTAGAGTTTACGACACGGAGAAACGTAACCCGGCCAAAAAGAGGAAGTAATCTTGTGAAAGAGAAATTAATCTTACTCCAAAAACACACGTTAACCTTGTAATTGCAAACAATTAGGCTACATTAATACATGTAATTTATATGTATATAAAAATACTAGTAAATATAAACAGCCTATTTGGTTCCCCACACTCTACAACAAATATTTTAAATTTAACGGTATTCAGAACAGAACAAGAATGAAAAATAAGTAGTTATAAAACTATATTTTAAACTATAAAATATAACACAAATTAGGCTACAGTGGCATTCATTATAAACAGCATACAAATGTCAAGCAAAACTGAAACGGCATTGGGCTCACGAGCCTGTCTCATACCACAAGAATCCAAATGTTTCCATTTTTGCCATATTTGTAACATTTGTTTGCATAACTATTATTCATTATGTAGCCTAAACATGGCTTTATACGTCAGTCATGTTCTAATATCCGTGTAAAATCCTTCACATGCGCAAAAATGTTTGTTTGGGTGCTGCAAGCTGATTTTACAGCGGACCTAAAATTTCAGTGTAACTAAAATGCAGTCAACAACATTTGGGTGGCGTTATGCAAATCTTCCCACATCGTGACGTAGACATGTGGGGGTGTGTTTAAACGAGGCATTTTAGGAAGGCGTGGTTGACTCTTAACTTTTATAAAGAATATCTCTTTGGATTTGAGACTTTAGTCTTTGCAACTTTACAGATCTTCTTTATGCACCAAGAGCTTGTAACACTCCAAAGAGAAAGGAAAAATTTTAAATCGCATCATATGACCCCTTTAACACATTTCACTATGTTCCACATCCAGATTTTCCCTTGAAATCAGAAAAATAAAATAAACAAAATTACAAAAGTCTGCAAATTCCTTATAGGCCTGCTTTTACCTATGAAAATTACAGCACATCTCCAGGAGCCGTTACCTTTTTGCAGCAGATGGGGACTTGGCAACAATTATAGCGTTTCTATAATCAGGAATCTAGGCAAAATAGAAATGAGAAGAACAGAAAATGATATTAATAGTTTTGTTTTCCCTTTATATATATATGTGTAAGTTAATGGCTGTAAATGCTGCCTACCTCCTCCTGAATGTACTGCAGCAGGAATGGAGAAGCCCGCAGGTTGTCCACAAGTTAATGGCTGTAACTGCTGCCTACCTCCTCCTGAATGTACTGCAGCAGGAATGGAGAAGCCCGCAGGTTGTCCACAGGGAATGTAAAGAAGCCCTGGATCTCTTTCTGGTGCAGATCCATGGTGATTAAATGAGTCAGACCTAGTTATCATTGAAAATTGTTTTCAAGACTTTTTGACTATTACTGTGAAAACAGAAGTAGGAACACGACAGCAATCATAAGCCATTACCTGCTTTAGCTAACATGGAAGCGAGCAGTTTGCACACTATAGATCCTCTCTTCCTCATCTTACACTGTTTACTGTAGGGGAAGTACGGGATCACGCCGATGATGTTCTTGGCACAGGAGGTCTTCAGTGCATAGGCCATGATCAGCAGCTCCATGATAGCAGTGTTGACATCTCTGACAGACACAGACAAATGGACTTTAGCTAATTGTTCTAAAGCGCTTCTGGGCCTGCTGAGAACTGCATTCCGAGACATGCAATTTAGCAAGAAGGTAAGACTTCACTTTGCACCTTTTGTGTTCCATGGAAAAAAAAGTGGTCAAAATGACATTAGGGTGTGCAAACTTTATTTTTTTTAAGAGCACATTAAAAATATCACAATGTACAATAATGCACTACTCATGATTTTACATTACCATAAAAATCACGGCAAGTATATGGTGAATATATGGCATATAAAGCTCTAAGCAACTCTATAGATACATAGATGACAGCACACGCAATTTGTGGGTTACGATCACACAGCTAAAATTCACAGGCACAAATATGTTTAAACAGTCTGAAATTACACTTCAGCTTAATAAGCATGCAGATCTCCTATTCTGAACTGGATTCAATACACTGCCTCTCACTGGCACTCTGACCTGGGAATGGTTTGGATGATGAAGATCGTTTGGGCTCTCACAGACTCTTTGATCTCAACCCTCGTTTCTGTCAGATAAAAGCAAAAACATCAAAATAGCAGTGGCAGATCAATTATTTAGTTGACTCCTAACCTGTTTGGGCGAACTTCATGAAGAAATTGCAATATTTTACCCCAAAATAAAAATATGAAACTATATTTTGAATAATGAAATGAAGCTATTTTTAAGACCATCATTTCAAGAAGATTCTTTCTTCTTCTTAATAAAAATAATAACAATTCCATTCCATTATTAACCATTACGACCATAACTACATTTAAGCACATACATTGTAATGCATTAAAAAAACACACATTCCCATTATTAAAATATCTTCAAGGTGCCATAGAGTGGAAAACTGTATTCACCTTGGCATAGTTGAATAATAACAGTTCTGTACATGGAAATGACATACCGTGAGCCTCAAACACCATTGTTTCCTCCTCCTTATGTAAACCTTGTGCATGCAAAAGACCACTGAAAAGTAGGCGAATCAGAACATAACACCGACTGTGACGTTACAGTCGGGATCACTAATAGTTACGCCCCCAACATTTGCATATTTACACCCACCCATGTTCTATGCCAGCCGCCAGCCGAACCTACACAGCCGAACCGTTAGAAGTTCTGCAGGTATTGTGAAGAAACAAGCGAGGATAATAGCAAAAATGGCAGATCATGGAAATAAATGTTAATGCTCCAGGCTGTGCAGGGGATGTGATGTGCGGGCCACTAAAGGGGCATGGTTAGCTGCTTGCTAGCGTAGCCTGTTACATTATAGTACATAAGATTTTACTTACCACATAAACAGAGTAAGGAGAGATGACTGAGGATGGTGGCGAATGATTTACAGATCCTGAGCACCAATGACAAGCATCTGATCTTGTAAAATGTGTGGTAAGTTGCTGTGTGAGCTACTGAAATGAGCCGCACTGTGAAACAGCCAATCAGAGCAGAGCTCAACTTTATTATTCATGACCCTTCCAAATAAGGTAAAAACCGACCATTTAATTCTAGGGGCAAATCCTAGGGTTGTAAATGGACATGTAAAACCGTTTCTGGAGATTTTTTGCCCTTAACTAAGCCACATACCTTCTATGTAGAGATCAGAGAACAATTTAAAATATTGTATCAATGCATTCTATGGCACCTTTCAGATTTACTACGTTATGTCCCTTGATCACATACCGTACATTTATTTATCTATTTATTTACAGCCTCATGAACGCAATCAGTAGGTCTCATTCACTAAGCAGCTGAATCACGCATTTGTTAAAAAAAACTGCGTATCTGTATGAAAATATGATGTTTTCAAGAACAAATCAAGAACAAATTCTTAATTAAAAAAAATAAAAAATCAATCTGGATGGCCATATAATCATGTTAAGATGAAATTGTCTAGATAATTTGTATACACAGATATTCATCTAAAATACATTTCATCATATACAGTGAAAGAGTAAGAAAAGAAGTGCTACAGCTTGTATAAAACCACAGATACGTGTTTGTGCAGCCGGCCAATCAGAGATCTGAACCCTGGGTCTGTATTAAAGGTGTTTGCTGTTTGAACTGGTTCTGAGGACGGCACACTTGGCATTATTTGAAGATCCTGCTGCAGGTCTCTCAGCGTCATATGTTCACTGAGAGTCACGAAAGGCTGTAAAGTAAAGGCTGTGTCGAAAGCCTTATATGGAGATGGTTTGGGCACACGGCCGCTCATTTCCAATCCTCGAAATTCATTAACATTAGAACATGTGGGGGCGTGTTTAAATGAGGCGTTTTAGGTAGGCGTGGTTGACTCTTAACTTTAATAAAGAATATCTCTTTTGGTTTGAGACTTTAGTCTTTGCAACTTTACAGATCTTCTTTATGCACCAAGAGCTTGTAACACTCCAAAGAGAAAGCTATGGTGAGCTATGGGGAACATTTTTGTGTGTACAAATACAAAAAATGCAATTATTAGTGAATGAGACCCCTTGAGTTTTGTGTGAGGCATTGGACATTATTGTTACGAACTGTGCTGACTTTGAGACCTTTGAAAATTACAAATCAGTAAATCAAATTGCTGTAATGAGACATCTATTTAGGTCCATGTCAAAATGCGACAGGGTGTCAAGGGTCACACTGCCAACAACAGAGTATCTGTGTAAATAAAGCGTATTGGTCACCTCTGTTTGACTCCTGGTAAACAACAGACTTCCCCAGCTCAACTCCAAGACGCCTGTGCAAACACAAGCAGACAATCAACACAGGTATGCGAAACAGTTCCTATCATGAAAGTCACTTTGAAGCAGAGCTGCATAGCCCAATAGCATCACTGCACATTCACACAACATCAAGATCAGCGTCTGAAATCAAGGTCTTTGTGAAATATTGGGCAGCTGGTCACAGGAGACTTACTCGGTAATCTTCTTGGAGAGTTCAGTGCACGCCGGCGTGGAGTTGGCAGAGAAAACGCGGTAACCACTTTTCGCCACGTTCATGATCAGCTAACTTTACCTGACGGCCAACGGCAAATCTGAGACGTTTACAGGTCTAGCGCTACAAAGCCGCTGTCTTGTCTAGGAATGCGAATGATATAATAGCTGCTGAAGAAGTACAACAGCTGCTCTGCAGGTTTACTGTGGTTTCCAAACAAACAGCCGATTTCTTCTGCGCGAGGTCCGCTACTGACGACTCACTACAGCCGCCTGCTGGCCGGAGGATAACAGCGTCCCGCAGATTCAACCACCGCTAATAATGTCTTCTTCTTCTTCTTCTGCTTATTTTATGGCGAATAACTCCTTAGGAGCATTATCGCCACCTACTGTACTGGAGGTCAAGTAAACTTTCATAGGTGATGAGTCTGAAATTTGAGTACCAAAAAAACAACAAACCAAACCAAACCAACAAAAAATTATATATATATTAAAAAAAAAAAAAATTCGAAACACCCAAAAACCATGGTGGACTAATAATGTCGAATCTACAATCCAGATTTATCTGTTGAATTGCATAATAAGAAGAGAAGAACTGTGTGTGATTTATATATTGCTTTCAAGCAAGCAAATAAATATATAAACTATAACTATAACTGAACCACTGTCCATGTTTGAATTATGTTCAGCCAAAGTTTATTTATTTATTCATTCATTCATTCATTCATTCATTTATTTATTTTGAGTGTAATTAAATGAAGATTGAGCATTAGTGATGAACACCTGCTGTTAACAAGCAGAATCACTGAAGGAAAGAGAAACAAAACAACTACAACTGACTTCAGCCACAGCCTTACATTAAATCAACTGAAATAAGACATTAAATATCTCAAGATCTGATTAAACAGCTCCACAAACAGCATTACCAGCTTCACTTATTACTAACTAGTTTGATTTTATTTCTGTCAGACGTCTACTGAAGTTCTTATTGAGAATTAACTGAGGTTTAGATGTTGAGGTTTTATTAAAAGTAATGTTTTGTTTAATGTCACCATTTTGACAGTTCGTGTTTGATTTAGTCGGGCTCTTGTCTTGTGGGCATTTGTGTGTTTATGAAGCACATTTGTTGTGAGACAAAATAATAATAATAAAAACACCAGCATAGCAAAAAACATCTGCATCAGCATTTTGATGCTGTTTATGGAGCGAGAGAAGAAAAAAATATTGCTTTTTCTTTACTATGTAATATTTATTCAACTGTATTCTAACATATTGTATGAAATTAATTGAAGTCTGCCAGAAAAAAAAAAACTCTAACATTTGATCTGTTTTGGAGCTTATACTTGAGAAGGTTTCTATTTTGTTCATTTATTAATAAGCACTATAAGAGCACACCTTCCCAGAGATTGTGAAAGTAAACATTTGACATTTTGTTTTGCATAATTTTAATTTTAATGAAGTGATAAAGACCTGGGGAACTATTTATTTATTTATTTATTATTGACATAATAAAAAATATTTTTAACATTGGCAATAGGTAACATTAAATATGCATAAGTAATTTTCACAAATGCATGCGGTAAATATATATATAGCCTACGATATTTATGGACAATATTTTCATATTATATATGGAAATATATGAAAAATTATACATATTGTCCATATGTTATGGCATTTGTTTGTGATGTTATGTGTTATTTTTTGTGCATTATGTGCTGCTGTCTTGCTATAATGTGCTGGGACTGGTAGTTGATCGCGCATCTCAGTTCTGGCAAAATGCGTTCTGTGTTCTCGGCGCGTTCTTCCGAGTTCTTTCAACGTAGCTTGGCAATACGGAATGCCAATCCTGCCATAATTAGAAATAAATAAACAACACAACACAACTGTTTATCAAATTCTGTTTTACAAAAGAGAATAAAACAGTTAAACATACCCATGATTGGCAGCATTTAAAGTTGGTTATCTTTACCTTTATAAAAAAAAAAACACACAACTCTGGACACGCTTTACATGCATGTCATCCAGAACAGTGGTGCGTGTCACACAAAGATTATATAAAAAGGTATACAATCTTTCAAGTGTTTGTCAATTAAATGGTTTCAAGTGCAAAGCAGGCCTTTATGTTAAACGCCACAAACTTTTAAGTGCTCAATGTTGATCCTTTCCACACACAAAAAAGGACAACAATGAAATCACCAGCCAATTACATAATTTGCATTGCAGTTGGTGTCAGTCGCGAATATTAAGCATGTTTTAGGCTATAATGCATGGCGTGTGTGTTTCACTAGCTCCGTTCCCATGGACACCTTTTGTTTGATCTAATTCTGGATATTTCCAGCCTAAAACATGTGATTAACCAGCCAATTCATCCGTATCTAAAGCCGTGTCAGCCAAGAGAACCCATTACGGGAAGTGGCGCGAGGCGACAAATCTTCTACAGTAACTGATGCCTCCTTCTATCCCGAATCTTTGAAACTTGCGTTGTATGCGTTGAAAGTGAAACCTAAAAAAACAGTGTGCATAAGAAAGCGATTGCAGGCTTTCGCAAGCTTCAGCAAATGCACTCGATCACAGATTGCATGCTTCCCAGCCGAAACAAACCCCCACGTGAAATTTAAATAATAACCTGTGATATAAGATTTTGGCCATATTGCCCATCTAAATCATACATCCCACACTATCAACAGGAGCGTCATGTAGGCGTACACTTCTTGTACTTTGTTTGGGCACCACAAGGTGTCACTGTGGCCTCAAAGCTTACCCCTCGCCTACTTTGGCTCGATTGCTATTCCTGAGGTAAAACACACCCTCCTCATTACCCTACGGACAAAGAAATGTAGAAATACATAAATGTGAAAATAAATAAATGTAAAAATAAATAAATGTATAAATAAATAAATGTGGAAATAAATAAATAAATATGTAAATAAATACAGAAATGTGAAAATAAATTAAAGTGGAAATAAATAAATGTATAAATAAATAAAAGAAAAAAGAAATAAATGTGGAAAGAAATAAAAAAAAATACATAAATAAGGAAATAAATTACAAATAATTATTTATTTTTGCTTTTTTACTTTTCTTTGTATATTTATTTATATATTTATTTATTTATATTTGCTTTTTTACATTTCTTTGTACATTTAATTATTTATTTCTAATTATGGCAGGATTGGCATTCCATATGGCAAGACCGGACTCCACGAGAACGTAAATCTGTTCTTAGCGCTCTTGGAATCCCTCACGACACCGGGTGCACTCTCTCAAGTTCCTGATGCATCAGCATCCTCGATAAATGTCGGAATGCTGGTTTCATCTTAGTCGCATGCGCACGAACACACCATTGCGCCGCAGTCTGCAGTAAGGAGTTCTTGGGTGTGGACCTTAACTGTATCTTCCAACTAACAAAGTAAGAAGTTTCTTTTAGATTATTAGGCCTCTATATTATTATTATTATTTTTTTTGATTGTTTCATTTTTAAAATTAATTCATTATTATTATTATTATTTAATAAAAGTTTATTTCTGTTGACTATGATGTATTGCTTCTTGTGATCTCCAAACTGAGCATTGTTTTGTTTTTTTGCTTTGGTACTGTGGTTATCGCCTACTAAGTGTCTTGTGATTAAACAAAAAATGTTACATCCATGGGATTTCTGGCCTTTAAACACTTTTATATATATTTTATATACTATGCATTCAAGCACATGCACAAAAATATATTATTTAACTGATTATGTGTCACTGAAAGAAAAAAAATAATAAATAAATAAACAAGCACAGACATTTTTTTCCCTTAAAATAAAGGAATTGTTATGATTTTCATGTGCAAAAATATGTTAATGAATAATTTTTTTTTTCTTAAAGGGGTCATATGATGCGATTTTTTATGGTGCATAAAGAAGATCTGTAAAGTTGCAAAGACTAAAGTCTCAAATCCAACGAGATATTCTTTATAAAAGTTAAGAGTCAACCACGCCTACCTAAAACGGCTCATTCTAACACGCCCCCACATGTCTACGTCACGATGTGGGAAGATTTGCATAACACCGCCCAAATGTTCACGCAAAGAAAGAAGGCGTATGTGGCGAGGGGGGCGTGGTTTAGCAGAGTCTGCAGCAGAAGAGAGAAGCTGGAGACGAGCGGTGAGTAAGTAGGTCAAGTGCAAAATGACATTTCAGTGATTGGCCTGGAGAGACCGTAAAAGGCCACGGAGAAACCCAGAGAGGGAGAGAAAGAGACAGACTGAGGACTCGTGGGGAAAAGACTGTTGCCTGTGAGGCAGAGAATCAACTAAGTGCTGTGTAGTTCTGTTTATTTGAAGCGCCTGAAGCGCATGTTTGTTTGGAATTGTGAACCAGTTAAATAAATTACCAAGAGCCTCAGTCACGCCGACTTCGACTTCTTCCTTCCTTTCCTCGAACTTTGCACTGGTGCCGAAACCCGGGAAGGGAGAAGCAGGCCGCCGCTGTCATGCAGTCACCGCCAAGTTCGCCGTTTGCGGAAGTGATCCAATCGCTCGCGGGCCTCCACCAAGAGCAGCATCAGGCGTTGCTGGAGATGCGAGATGACCAGGAACGTCGTTTCCGCGCTCTGGTGCAGGCGCAACAGGAGGACCGTGAGCTGTTCCGGAGCTGGATGCACCAGGAGGGCCGGGCAGGAGGGCCGTCATCGAGAACCGCCGTCGGCCCCTCTCATCTGCCCCTGAATAAAATGGGGCCACAGGACGATCCATAGGCTTTCATCGATCTATTCGAGAAATCGGCCGAGTCATGTGGCTGGCCCTGAGAGCACTGGCCAGTGCGTCTCATACCACTGCTCTCAGGGGAGGCGCAGGTGGCGGCCCAACAACTGCCCATTCAAAACCTCCTGGTCTTCACCGATCTGAAGCGAGCCATCCTGCAGCGGGTTGGCCTGAGCCCAGAACAACATCGCCAGCAGTTTCGGTCGCTGGATCTGGGCGAGAGTGGCCGGCCCTTTGTGTTGGCTCAACAGCTCCAGGACGCCTGCCGCAAATGGCTGCTGGCTGGGGGAGGCGACGTCGAGCAGATCCTCGACCGTGTGGTACTGGAGCAGTTTATCGGCTGTCTCCCGAGGAAGACGGCAGAGTGGGTCCAGTGCCACCGCCTGACGTCGCTAGACCTGGCCATCCAGTTGGCGGACGACCAGATGGTGGCGTGCTCAGGAGTTGGCGAATCCCTGCCAGCTGTTTCTCTTTCTCTCTCTTCCCCTAATATTTCTTCTCCCCCCCGTCCTGTTCCCTTTCCTATGTCCCGTCCGGGAATCCCTCCTCGAGTCCCACCCCGGGGGCGGGCTGGGCCACCTCAGGAAGCCTGCCGCTGGCCCGAGAGCGCCGCCCAGGGGGCCGGGGCTAGTCAGTGCGGGATCCGCAGTGGTTCCTTTTTCTCTGCTCTCTCCACGTCAGTCCCTTGACCCACTTCCTGCCAACAGAGCAGTGGGAAGGTCTGGGCCGGCCTGTTGGCGTTGCGGGGACCCAGGGCATTTCATTGACCGGTGCCCAGTGATGGAGGTGGGGGCACTGATCCGGGTCCCGGACGACCCACAGGCTGCCCCCGATCAGGCTGGCCTGTACCAAATACCTGTGAGTATTAGGGGGGTACTTACCTCGCTTTGGTGGATTCAGGTTGTAATTCTGCCATTTTAAAGGATCGGTTGTACCGAGTGACACAAGACACTCAGACAAAGCAGGATACAACCCAATTGTTAGTACCTAAAAGCCGTCGGGAAATGCTTTTCCAGGCGGCTCATTGTAATCCAATGGCGGGACATTTAGGGCAGGCAGCGACACTAAATCGTCTCATGGCCCGATTCTTTTGGCCGGGCATTCATGAGAATGTGCGCAGGTGGTGCGCGGCTTGTCGTGAATGTCAGCTGGTAAGTCCACCGGCCTCCCCAAAAGCGCCTTTGCGCCCTCTTCCTCTAATGCAGGCCCCCTTCGAAAGAATTGGTATGGACCACATCGGGCCATTAGAACGATTGGCACGCGGGTATCGCTTTGCATTATTCCTAGTGGACTATGCAACACGATACCCTGAAGCAGTAGCGCTTCGCAACATTTCAGCGAAAAGTGTAGCGGACGCACTGTTTCGGTTGATCTCCCGAGTGGGAATCCCGAAAGAGATTCTCACTTATCAAGGCATGGCGTTCATGTCACGTACGTTACGCGAACTGTACGAATTGTTGTGCATTAAGTCGATTCGCACCAGCGTCTACCACCCACAAACAGACGGTCTGGTGGAACTATTTAATCGCACGTTAAAAACCATGATTCGGAAGTTCTTTCACGAAGATGCCAAAAATTGGGACAGGTGGCTGGAACCCCTCTTGTTCGCTGTGCAGGAGGTCCCGCAAGCCTCCACGGGGTTTTCCCCCTTTGAGCTTCTCTATGGGCATCAGCCCCGCGGGTGCTGGACGTCCTGAGAGAAACTTGGGAGGAGGGACCTTCAGAAAGCCGAAATGAAATTCAGTTCTTGCTGGACCTGAGAACAAAACTCCACACCTTGGGGTGGCTGTCAATGGAGAATTTGTTACAGGCCCAGGACAGGCAGAGTCGGCTGTACAACAGGGGAACCAGGCTACGTAAATTTGCACCGGGAGAAAAAGTGCTTGTATTGCTTCCTACATCTAGCTCTAAATTACTCGCCAAGTGGCAAGGACCCTTTGAGGTCACACGGCGAATTGGGGATCTTGATTATGAGGTCATTCGTACGGATAGGGGCGGGGCACATCAGATTTATCACCTCAACCTCCTTAAAAAATGGAGTGAGGCGGAGTCAGTGATGCTAGCGACGGCAGTGAGTGGGGAGGAGGATCTCGGGTCAGAAGTAAATACCAAACTGCAATCTCTAGCTCTGGCCCCTGGGGGAGACCACCTCTCGGCCTCACAGCTCGCTGATGTAGCCAAGCTACAGGCCGCATTTGCAGATGTGTTCTCGCCCCTGCCTGGTCGAACAGAGCTCATACAGCACCACATAGAAACCGAGCCAGGAGTGGTGGTTCGCAGCCGGCCATATCATTTACCTCAACACAAATAAAAGGTGGTTCAGACGGAATTAGAGGCGATGCTAGAGATGGGAGTAATCGAGGAATCCCACAGCGATTGGGCGAGCCCGATAGTTTTAGTA